ATTCTATCTGCACCAAAAATGGAAAAATATCCTCGGGTGAGGATTAAAAAAAAAAAAAAAAAAGTGAAAGCACATACCTTGTTCATGAATTGGAAGAATTAACATCATTAAAATGTCCATATTACCCAAAGCAATCTATACAGTAAATGCAATCTCCATAAAAATAACAACGACATACTTCACAGAACTAGAACAAATACTTTAAAAGTTCATATGAGCCCTTGCCGGTTTGGCTCAGCGGTTAGAGCATCGGCCTGCGGTCCTGAGAGACCCGGGTTCAGTTCCCGCTAAGGGCACGTACCTCGGTTGCAGTTTGTCCCCGGCCCTGGTCGGTTGTGTGGGTGGCAGCCACTCGATGTGTCCCTTTCACATCGATGTTTCTCTCTCTCTCTCTCTCTCTGTTCTTCTCTGTCCCTCCCACTCTACCTGAACAAAAAATGGAAAAATGTCCTCGGGTGAGGATAAAAAAAAAAAAAAGTTCATATGAAACAAATAAGACCCCAAATAGCACAGCAATCTTGAAAACGAAGAACAGAGTTGGAGGAATCACATTACCAGATTTCAAGTTATACTACAAAGCCACCATAATCAAAACAGACTTTTACTGGCATAAGAACAGGCAACAAACCAGTGGACCAGAAGAGAAAACCCAGAAATGGACCCAAGGCAATATGCTCAATTAATATTTGACAAAGGGAGCAAGAGCATACAATGGAGTCAAGATAGCCTCTTTAATAAATGGTATTGGGAAAATTCAACAGCCACATGCAAAAAATTGAAACTAGACAATCAACTTACACCCTACACAAGAATAAACTCAAAATGGATAATAGACTTAAGTGTGGATCTGAATCCATAAAAATCCTAGAAGAAACTGTAGGCAACAAAATTTCAGGCATCATACACAGCAGAATTTTCACTGGTACATCACCTAAGGCAATAGAAACAAAGGAGAAAATGAACACTTGGGACTTCATCTAACTCAAAAGATTCTGCACAGCAAAAATAACAACCACCAAAATGGAAAGGCTACCCACTGTTTGGGAGAGCATAATTGCCAATGATATATCAGATAAGGGGTTAATTTCCAATATATATAGTGTTCATACAACTCAAAAAATGAAAAACAGAGGACCCAATTAAAAAATTGGCAGAGGAACTAAAGAGACACCTCTCCAAAAGGACGTACAAATGGCCAAGAGACATATGAAGAAATGCCCAACATCACTAATCATCAGCGAGATGCGAATTAAAACAACTATTTGGTATCACCTCACACTTGTCAAAATAGCTGCCTTCAACAAATCATGAAACAACAAGTACTGGTGAGGGTGTGGAGAAAAGGAGACTCTAGTACACTGTTGGTGGGAATGCAGACAGGTGTCACCACTATGGGAGACACTATGTTGTTACATCAAACAATTAAAAATTAAACTGCCATTTTACCCAGTGATCCCACTTCTCAGGATATACCCTAAGAAGCCTGAAACATCAGTCAGAAAAATTATAGTACTCCTATGCTCACAGCAGCACTATTTATAATAGCTAATATCTGTAAACAGCCCACGTGTCCATCAGTAGATGAGTGGATAAAAAGCCGTGGTCCATATACACAATGGAACACTATGCAGCTGTAAGAAAGAAAGATCTCTTATCCTTTGAGACGACATGGAGGGACCTGGAAAGTGTCATCCTAAGTGAAACAAGCCAAGCAGAGAAAGACAAATATCACATAATCTCACATATTTGTGAAATAAAATGAACATTACAGTCTGAGGAACAGTGTAGACCCAGAGATGTGGAAGTAGGATACAGACTGTCAGCCCTCAGAAAAGGGGAGTACGGGAAGGAAGAGTTTAACCATAAAATTTATATGCATGTACGCATAACCAATGGACATGACCAACAAAGCTGGGTATGATGTAGGGGGGATGGGGAGGAGAGTGTCACTGGGGAAAAAAGGAGAAATAGCTGTAACAAAAATAAATAAATAAATTAGTTCATTAATTAATTTAAAAATATTTTTTAAAAGTAATTTAAAAAATAAAAGAAGAAGAAATAATACAGATAATGAACAAATCTAAACCCAGTTTGCTTTAAGAATACTAAAAATATAGACAACTTCTGATAAGGTTTTTTTAAATTTTTTTTCTTTATTGATTTGAGAGAGAGAGAGAGAAAGAGAGAGAAAAACATTGATGAGAGAGAACATTGATTAGCCGCCTCCTGCATGCACCCCACTGGGGATTGGGCCCACAACTTGGGCATGTGCCCTGACCGGGAATTGAACCGGCAACTTCTTGGTGCATGGGTCAATGCTCAACCACTGAGCCACAGCAGCTGAACCTGATAAGTTTAATTAAGAAAACAAAATAGGAGAGACCAGTTGGGGCAGTAGCAGGAATATATATTAAATAAGATTAGCAAAAAAAAAGATGATACTTTTTAAAGATGGGTGATGGGTACATAAGATTCCATTAAACTAATTTCTCTACTTTGGTATGTGTGCCTGTGTGTGTGACATAATTACTCCCTGCCTGTGGAGAATAGATTTAGGGAAACAACAGTAGAGAAAGAGGAATAACGTATACCTTGTCAAACTCAGGATCTATGTCATTGGAGGTAGGTGTTTGACCAAGGAGTGCAATGGCCACAAAGGATTATGGGTGGTGCTGGTTCAATGCACAAAATGTCACCACAATTTGTCCTCTTTGTGAACAAAAGACTCTTTATTTTTATAAGAAAGTATTCTTATGTTTCCCAGCCAAAGTGATCATAGCTATTGTGCCTTGTCACTGTATTGAATTGTAGCTAAAATGTAAACAAACTTATTTGAGCACTCTTCCCTCCATATTAGTAAAGAGCCATTCTGTTGCTTCTGTTTAACCATGAGGACGAAAAACAAAAAAGCACATGGAACATGAACCTTAAAAAGAGAAAGTCTACATTGTTTGAAATAACTTCAGTGCCTGTTTGGGTGGAGAAGGAGGAAAGAAAGGAGCTGGTTTGGGCAGGGTCTGTGTGTGTTTTTGTAGTACCCATGCATTTAGATATCTATTTGCACATGTGTGTCTATGGATTGCCTAGGATAACATGTGGATCGTTGCTATTCTATGTGTATTTCCTTATATGCATGTACATTTTTCTGAATGTTTTTGTGGATGTTGGTGCACGAGTGATAGTGAGTGTATATGTGTGTATTCAATGAGTAAGTTCAGTTTCTTTCTTATAAAAATTTTAATCCCCCACTAATTCCCAGAAATACAAAGAGCGAGCTGCATATCCCTGGTGTGTCTGGCTATCCCCAATGGCCCATGAGCTCTCTGAATATAGGGGTCCACAGAACACCTGAATGCAGATTTGGACTTTTAAGGAGTACTTTTTAAATTACCAACTGACAACAGTTTTAATGCATACCTGGATCTGAAGCTGTAGGAATTAGTAGTCAACAGGTTGAGAAGAAGCAAGATAGACATACAGGTTTTCCTGCTGACCTTATGAAAGACCCATCTTCTCTGTCCCTCCTATGTCAAACATGCCCCTCGCAGAGCTCTCCTTATGTGTCAAGTACTCTATTAAGTTCCAGGGAAACCAAGAAGACTTGGCAGTTGCCCTTAAGGAGTGTACAGGGAGTCTGCTATATCTCTGTATACCCTTCTCTTTATTCCACACCTGGAAGATAAAGTTCAGGCCTCTACCTTCCCACTGCCTGGCCTCACAACCACTCATGACTCCCTCTCTTGAGAACTAGGCTACTGCTCCAACTGAATCCTAAACCTTGTATGATCAAAGGAAGAGTCATGTAAAATCAACGTGCCTAAACAAATTTTCATTCTCCAGTCTTTTGCCCCTTATAGTCCATCCTATCCTGTACAGAGTACCAGATCAATCATTCTAAAACAAAGCATATTTTTACTGCCCTACTCAAATCTACACAATGGCTCTGTATTATTTATAGGGCAAACTCTATTGTGTTCCTACACAACCATTTGTATTTACCCAACAGGTCTAAAAAAGCACTCTCCCTTGCTAAGCAGTAGTCACACTGAACATAGAGATGTAGAGAAAAATCTAAGTAATAAACATGGATATTTCATAATTTTTAATATATTTTTTTCTGATTTAAAATTGTTATTTTCAACAGAAAGTTACTCATTTAATAAAAATTTATTGAGCATCTAATAACTGCCAGGCATACTGAGCAGATAATAGTTTTTTGTTTACCTACATAATGATTATTCAATCAAATATCTGATACTTAGTAGGTATTAATCAGGTTGTCCATTAGGATGGGGTCTCCTGTCTCAACTCTCTTCTGCCTTCTTTGCTTTGGCAGCAATAGAGAACAATAGGAGAAGGGAAAGTCCTGGCAGATGACTCACAAGTCATCCCATTTCTAGCTCTACAGTACTCTAGCTCTAGCCCTATTACTTGAATCTGTTCCAAAGATCTTCCACTGTTCATATCTATAGAAGGATAAATTTCCAGAAGTGGCTGTGACCTTTTCTCCAAACACTCTGAATCACCCTGGTTAGTCCATATTCTGGGTGAATGTCCCCAGGGGCTGTTTGCAAGAAACCAACTTCCTGGATGACACCACTGGCTGCTTAACTGAGAGTCCCTACTACAATGCTCTCTTTACACGACTTACTGGTACTAATATGTGTATGGTGATGGCTAAATGTGAAGGGAGAGGTCAGGGAAAGTTTAATTGAGGATAGTGAGCCAAGTTGATTTTGAACGATGTGTTGTAGACAGAAGGGAATGATACTTCTGATGTGTTATATACAGAAAAGAATGATACTTCTGATTTTTATGTAAATAGGTGGAGAGAGCCGGGAAGAGATAGACTTGGCTAAATGTACGATGGTGAGGGTAGGGAATTCATCTGAGACAAGACTTCTCTATGTCACATAGTTATGAGGCCCTGTTATGGGGTGGTATTTTATTTGCTCTGTTGTATCACCTTTCTCTTCTGTTTTACCAGAAACTATACTTACCATGTCAGTGTCTGACACAGGGCCAAAACTGGTCACGTAGATATCAGTCTTCACTTCAGTCACTGCATCTGAGCCAAAGAGAGCAGAAATGCAGAGTATCATGAAAATCTGTTACCTTAGTTCTGAGAGAGACAGTGCAATACTCTGAATGACAGCCAACTTGCTGCTTCTGAGAAAGGACATTTGGCACAGTCAAAGGGAAACCCCCGAAAAAAACTCTCATCTGTACTATTTCTTCATGGAGAACATGATAGGTACAGGTACAAAGTCTATCCCTTCAGGTATCATTGAGAATGACAGCAGAATCCTAAAGCTTAGGGAGAGCCCTTGGAGATCTCTTGCAATCATTTGTGATGGACTCTCACACTGGGAATATCCTTAATTGTAGTAGATTACAAATATTCCAATATCTAACTCTTTTCCACTTCCAGGAACATAAGATGATTACACTTCCACTCCCCTGCCAACTAAAAATAAGGAGGGGTCACATGACTGGTTTTGCTTATGAGAAGAAGTAATATGTTTCCCTCCCTGGCTGGGACTTAATGTCCTATACAAGTCCTTCCCTGCCATGGTCATCATTAAAACATATATTGAGGTGGAGCTACCATAAGATTGAAACAACCTGGAATAATGAGAAAACAAATGGAGGACAATTGCCCTAAAGAATTGCCTAGATCTACAATAGACTCTGCATGAATGAGAAATAAACTTTTTTTGGTTTAAGTAACTAAGATTTGGAGATGACTAACACCACATCATACACTCTCTTTGCATTTATTTATTTTTCTTATAACTGCTTTCTTGTCTGCCTTCCTGCCTAACCCAAGAAACCCTGAACGACAATTTTCCTGTTTTGTTATCTCTATATCCTCAGTACATAGAAAAGGAACATGGTACTAAAAAAATGATGACTAGAAAAAAAAAAGATGGTGGTGGACAGGACCAGAGGGAGAGTGAGTGCATGAGAGAGTAAGCTAGTGTGTGAGTGGATGTGAAGGGGGACAACCAAACTCCTGCAGTGCAGAGACACAGAGCAGAAGGTTCTTGTGCTGTGGACTTGAGCAGCCGGCTACCGCAGAAAGCAACTCTTCAGGGCACTTCTCCCTGCACCGCAGGGAGGTCCCACCATTTGGGAAGATCCCCTGTCTTCCCTGAAAGGAGGCAACAGGAGAGGCTAGGGCCCAGAAACCTGAGCCCACCAGTGCACCTGGCACCATGAGACCAGTGGACACTCTGTGTCAACACAGACCAGGGCACAGTAGTGAAGCTGTCAAGGTGCCTGTTGCAGAAGCCGCAAAGAGCTGGGAGCCCAGCACCATCCTCCAAAGTAGCAACACGATTAGAGTCCAGATATACACCAGCAACAGAGGTTGGGGGGCAGACATCCATCCACAGGCAACAGAAGCACAGACCAGCAGCTGCGACCCATCCCCAAAAACTACAGCAAAAGCTGAGCAGGAGTTGAGCCCAACAGGGCAGCAGCACTCCCCTGCCACTAGCTTAAAGACCTGGGGCTCCACAGAGGCCTGTGTGACCCAGCGGCCCACAGGAGCAGTGGGAAGCCTGAGTCCTAGAGGGACTGGTGCAACCCAGCTGCCGGCCCCTGGGACCTTCAGGGTGTGGCAGCACCAGAGAGGCCTGTGCTGCCCAGCAGCCCACAAGAACTGTAGGAAACTGGAACTCTAGAGGGACTAGTGTGACCCATCTGCCCACCCGAGGGACCTGCAGGGTGCAGGGGCATCAGAGAGGCCTGTGCCACCCAGCAGCCCCCAAGGTAGGCATAAAGCCAGGTCTCCAAAGGGACTGTGCAATCAAGTTACGCTCGGGACCTGTGGGGTGCTGAGGTATCAGAGAGGCCTGTGCAACCCAAAAGCCCACAAGATAGGCATGAAGCCCAGTCTACAAAGGGACTGTGAGATCCAGTTACCCATGGGACCTGTGGGGTACTCGGGCACCAGAGTGGCATGTGCCACCCAGCAGCCCATAAGATAGGCATAGAGCCAGGTCTCCAAAGAGACTCTGTGATCCAGCTGCCCACGGGGCCTTCCGGGTTCTGGGGCACCAGAGAGGCCTGAGCGACTCAGCAGCCCACAAGAGCAGTGGGAAGCCTGAGCCCCAGAGAAACTGGTGCGATCCAGCTGCTCACCTGCGAGACCTACAGGGTGCGGGGGCACCAGAGAGGCCTGTGCAACCCAGCAGCCCACCAGATAGGCATAGAGCCAGGTCTCCAAAGGGACTGTGCGATCTAGTTACCCTCCAGGCCTGCAGGGTACTGAGGCACCAGAGAGGCCAGTGTGACCCTACAGCCCACAAGATAGGCATGAAGCCAGATCTGCAGAGGCAAGAGAGGGTGGAGGGCGGGGAGGCCACAGACAGCAGCAGTCTTTGCTGTGAGCAGCGCCCTTGGGGAATAAAGACCAAGCCCACTCCATAGCAAAGAGAGCCAAGACAGAGTGCTAAAATAGCCACAGCTACTCACCTGGGGGCTATGGCAGAGGGAGGGCAGACTGGGATGGAACTCTGTGGGGACACCCAGGATTAGGAGGGCACTCAAAGTTTTTGCTGAGTTGTAGCCACATAGGACAGTGGGAAGTATGCTCCTTCCCCGAGCTGTGGGGAAAAGCAGCAGCCCCCCTCCTTGGAGATTCAGTCTTACCCAGGTGAGGCAAAGAAATAAAAATTGAGGCTCATTAACAACCAGCATCTATCCCACCCTCTGGAAATCCTCTAATGCAGAACACCAGGGCCACATTCCAAGGCATTGGGCAACTGAGATTACTAACCTCCAGGAAAAAGCTACAGGCTAACTGAACCTTTCCTGGGCTTGCAAATCTACCCAGGAAATAAGACTTCACAGTGGTGTTTAACGTGGGCCCACACAGGCTCATCCAAACCCAGTAGAGGGAGCCACAAACAGCAGAACACTAACACCCACAGAAAAAATTTGGCAAGCTCCAAAACCCACGGAGATAGCAAAATGGTAAAACAAAGAAACAAATCCCAAATAAGAGAACAAGAGTCCTCTACCAAAGATGAGATCAATAAAATGCAGTTAAGCCAACTATCAGAGGTAGAGTTCAGAGGCATGATCTTGAGGAAGCTCAACAGCATGAGTAAGGACATCAACTCCATGAGTAAAGATATAGAAACATTGAAAACCAATAAAGGGGAAATGAAGAATGATATAGCAGAAATAAAGAACACATTGGGCCCTGGCCGGTTTGGCTCAGCGGTTAGAGCGTCGGCCTGCGGTCCGGAGAGACCCGGGTTCGGTTCCCGCTAAGGGCACGTACTTCGGTTGCAGTTTGTCCCCTGCCCTGGTTGGTCGTACGGGTGGCAGCCACTCGATGTGTCCCTTCACGTCGATGTTTCTCTCTCTCTCTCCCTTCCTCTCTCTCCCTCCCACTCTATCTGTACAAAAAATGGAAAAATATCCTCGAGTGAGGATAAAAAAAAAAGAACACATTGGAAGGACTATAAAACAGAGTAGAGGAAGCTGAGGACTGAATCAGTGAATTAGAAGACAGGGTAGAAAAAGTCAACAAACCAGAAAATCAAAAGGAAAAAACAATTAAAAAACAGGAAGTCAGCTTAGGAGAACTGTGGGACAACTGGAAACGTAATAACATTCGCATCATAGTAGTACCCAAAGAGGAAGAAACTGGGCAAGGCTTAGAGAATATATTTGAAGAAACAGTGACAGAAAAGTTTTCAAACTCGGTGAAGGAAGAAGGCATTCAAGTTTAAGAAGCACAGAGAGACACAAGTAAGAACAATCCAAACAGACCCACACAAAGACACATAATAATTAAAATGCAAAAAATTAAAGACAAAGAAAGAATTCTAAAGGCAGCAAGAGATAAGCAACAGGATACCTACAAAGGAAACCCCATAAGGCTCTCAGCTGACTGCTCAACAGAAACAATACAGGCCAGAAGGGAGTGGCATGAAGTAATCAAGGCCATGAAAAACAAAAATCTGAATCCAAGACTACTGGACCCAGCAAGGGTATCATTTAAAATAGAAGGTCAAATAAAGAGCATTGCAGACAAAAGAAGGTTAAGGGAATATATTAACACCAAACCAGCACTGCAAGATATGCTAAAAGGACTGCTATAATTAGGAGAAGAAATAGGAAGAAAAATAGAACCACACTAAACAAAAATGGCAATAAATAAGTACATATAAATTATCGCTTTAATGTGAATGATTTGAATGCTCTGATAAAAAGACATAGAGTAGCTGACTAGATAAGAAAGCATGACTCACATATACATTTTTTTAAATAATTTATTTTTGTTACAGATGTTTTTCCTTTTGCCCGCACTGATACTCCTCTACCCCTCCCTCCCTGCCCTGTCCGCAGAGGTGTTCTCTATGTCCATTGTTCATACATACAAACATATAAGTTCTATGGTTTTTTCTCCTCCCAACCCCCTCTTCTGGGGATTGCCAGTCTGTACCCCACTTCCACATCTCTGGGACTACCACATTTCTCAGACTGTTATGTTCATTATATTCAACAAATAAGTGAGATCATGTGATATTTCTCTTTCTCTACTTGGCTTGTTTTGCATAGGATAATACTCCCCAGGTCCCTCCATTTCATCTCAAAAGATAAGAGATCTTTTTTTCTTACAGGTACATAGTAATCCATTGTATATATGTACCACCACTTTTTTATCCATGTGTCTACTGATACACATTTGAGCAGTTTCCAGATCTTAGCTGTTGTCAATAGAGCTGCTATGAACATGGGAGTACATATATTCTTTCTGACTGGTGTTTCAGGCTTTGTGAGGTATATTCTTAGAAGTGGGATCACTGGGTCAAATGGAACTTCAATTTTTAATTTTTCGAGGTAACACCATATTGTTTTCCACAGTGGCTGCACCAGTCTGCATTCCCACCAGCAGGGAACTAGAGTCCCCTTTTCTCCACACCCTCGCCAACACTTGTTTGATGATTTGTTGATGGCAGCCATTCTGACAGGTGTGAGGTGATACCTCATTGTTGTTTTAATTTGCATCACGCTGATGATTGGTGATGTTGAGCATTTCTTAAT